AAATACGTTACCGAGTACGTTACCTAATGCATTTGAGTTTTATTTATTTTGTATCTACACAGGACTATTGTTTTAGCTCCAAAATAATATTAGGTCGACTAATTTGGATTACTATTAGAATTTTTAAAATTTATCCTCAAAATCGTAATCAGCGACCTCAAAAACCATAGATTAACATATTTAGTACTTACATTATCGTTAAAATAAACTCCAGATAAAAAAAATAACAATTAATTTTTTTTAGTAAAAAAAATATTTCTGGTTCAAATTTTTGATTTTTTTTTAATAAAACAACAGATTTGTATTTATCTTATATAAAATATATGTTGGAAACAAATCTTGATCTTTTAGTTTGACGCTTATACATTGCTTTAGAATCTATAGTGGCATCACAACCTAAAAAACACCACTTGATATACAGGGTGTTTTACATTCGTGGTCCGATGGAAGTTTCTGGGGAACGGCAAAAATATCGATTTGAAATTTAAAAGAGTTTATAATTTAAGTCTATTTTTTTTTAAATATTTTGAACCAAATGCCACTTCCGGTTTGATCGGAAGTTTGTTATTTCAAGTAGAACTCCCCATATATTTGTACATTTTTAAATTCTACATACAATTCTGAGTAAATTATTAAACAATTTCCTTTACCTAAAGTAAATAGTTTTCGAGTTCCCTATACCTAAAGTTAATAACTTTAGAGATATTTAACAGTTACATCAATAGAAACGTTTTTTAATTTTCTATTTGAATATGTAAAACATACAGGGTGTTTCATTTAAAATAAAAAAGTTATTAACGTTTCAAGTTAGCCTAATTTACCCTGGGTTTTCTTGGGTAATTTATTAAAAAATGTTAAAGAATTGACAAGGAATCTTTTAAACAATGTTTTAAGATTCAAAAAATTCGACCCCCATTTCGGCAAACCTAATAGCAAAAAAGTTATAGGCACAGACCTACAAACAAGTTTGTAGGTCTGTGGTTATAGGCTATTTTTGATTGACGCGCATTTGTCAAATTTTAACGAAAAAAATTAATAACTCAAAAACTATTCACTTTAGGTATAGGACATGGTACAGTAATTTTACTCAAAATCTTATGTAGAATTTAAAAATGTAAAAATATATGGGTTGTTCTATTTAAAATAAGAAAGATGATGTCACTTCAGGTCAAACCAAAGTGGCATTTTGTTTAAAATTCCTCAGAAACTTTTAATGGACCACGAACGTAAAACACCCGTATTTCGTAAATGCGCAACACCATGTATTTAATTAAAATAATTTTAAAATAAATAAATAATTTTAATGGTTGTACATTTATTCAGTGAATACTTTTTCTTAAAAATTTACAGTCTAGATGTTATCGAAGCTTTTATATTATGTGCACTTAAAAAAAATAAATGACGTGATCTGAAAAAACTCCGAGACACATTTTTTTAAGTCTATTTTAAAAATCTATAGGAATTTTTCATGGTGTAGGTAAATCACCTCATTACCTCAATTAAATACTCTGAAGATGACATTAGTTTTTTAAGTGTACGTACAACCTACAAAATTAAAAAAAAACACAATTATATTGCATATTTTACCTAAAATCTAGTATACTCGAGGGGTAAACCACCCCTGAGATTTTGTACAAATATTTCCCCTTGGGGGAATTATTTCACAAATATTGCCTTTATTTCCTATATGTTCTCGTAATTCCCGATATTGCCACATAATTCCCTAAAATGCCTTATAATTCCCTGATATTTCCCATAATTCCTCAGTAATTTCTGATATTTCCCATAATTCCTCAGCAATTTCTGATAATTCCCCAATATTGCCCGGTATTTCCTTTATTATAATTCCCCTAGTATTTCCCATATATTTCCGATATTTCCCATAATTCCTCAGTAATTCCTGATAATTCCCCAATATTGCCCGGTATTTCCTTTATTATTATTAACAAGAATATTTAAGTACTTTACCTAAGCAGTTTTATTTAAAGTATGTACAATGTACATACATATGTAGAAATTATTTGAAAAGGCAAAGTAAGTTAAGTGCCTTTTAGAGTTTTCATAATAAAAACATTAATTCGGAAGAGTGTAGTTATTTATTTATAAATAAACATACCTAAACTTACATAAATATCAACAACAAAAATAAACTAAAATAAAATACTTTTTAGTCGAGTTTTTATTTAAAAAAATTCTTCAACAAAGAAGATCCACAAGCCTTGTTGCCTTCAAAATTAATTATAACGTCGAACGACATAATTTATATTTTTTATTTATATTTATGATATCTTGCCTCTTTAACTGGAAAGGACCGTTTCCAATGAGGTTGAGAGGACCATATATTATATATTTATGTTCTACATTCGCATTGTCTGGGCGGAGAGGCCAAACATAGTTGTCTAACTCACATTTGAGAAATTTAAAATAAATCATATTCTTTTTCTCGACGTTTTCTTCATTGGATGTAGTTACTTTAGATATAGCCCTTCCAATAGCCCATAGTTCATCATAATATACCGCATAGTACTGCTCAAGCTGTATAGGTATATCCAAGGTTATATCCTAAAAGAGAAGAGAAGGCTAGAGAAAAACTGATGAAATACAGGTGAAATAATATGCATACAGAATAATTTGCTAAGGAAATTGATGTTAATTTAACTTTTAACTAAAATGATTAAGTACTTAAATTTTACTTTTTCTTTTCATCAAAAGACATAATGTATTAATATGATTTGCTTACTTTGTTTTTCTTATCAACAGTAACATTATCATTCTTGTCGTCATCTGACCGCTCGGAAAATTCTTCGCTATCTGTTGAATCATCATATACAACATCATTATCCTCGCTTGAGCTTTCAGTTGAAACCTCATCGTCATAAACAACAGCTTTTTTTTCGGCTTTTTCCTTCTTGCTTGAGCTTGCTACTCCTTTTCCCGAGCATTTTTCTTTCTTATTAAGGTTTCCCTTCTTTTTTTTTGTCGAGGTTATTGCGAGGAGTTTTCTTGCTTAACTGGGTATAAAACCGTCTTAGTCTATCTGTACTCACCCGGCCGTTTCCTTCTTCCAGCAGCCAACAATATGTTGATTTCTTAATAACAACCTCCTTTTCTTGTGTACCCATTTTAACTCGTAAAAAGGGACTTTCTTCATTTATGGTTTTCACCTTATTGGAGTAATCTTTCAGCTTGATGTTATCACCTACATTTTCAATCTCATTTTTAACATTAAATTCATTTGCATGCTTGTCCTCATCTAATATTGTATCGTCAAATAAGTTATTGTTTTCGTTAATTTCTTCAACTTGTGTGTTTATTTTGTCATCTTCATCATCATCAATCATGTTCTCTCGAGTGTTCTCTTGTTTCATTTCTATAGCGACTTGCATCCAGAAATCTTCTGTATATTCAGAAATACAAAGTTCACTTAAATCCTCTAGTGCATTATTTAAGGCATTTTCCATTACACATTCTATAGCTTTGTCTGTATATTTTGTAAAATCTACTAAAGTCTCACTTTCTGTCTCTCTCAAAATTCTCTTTTCACGTTTTTCCTCCCTTGGAAATTTAATTGTGTCTTTTAAGTCAAAAATTACCTCATTTATTATTTTAATTTTTCCTATTCTTTGAATTATGTCTTTAATGCTGAAGTTTACAACGGTTGCGAAAGTGCTCGTTAGAGAACGGGTACACCTAAAAATATTTTAGACTGTTAGTCTATGCAAAGAGTCTAAGCCTATTTTACACAATCGCACTCACAACTGCCAATATATTGATGACTTTCTGCCAAAGTATCGCAAGCAACAACTCAAATTTTGGGAATTGAAAACAATTTTTGTTTTAAAGTCTGTTTTAAACCTATAGGTTTTATAACAAGTAAATAGCTATAATTATAATCTATTTGCTTGCTATATTTAATTTAAAACATTAAAACATATATTAAATAAAACTTAAAAATAATATATAAGGAAGTACTTACCTTCATGAAATAAGTTCATCACACATAAAAACGAACATAAAAATTACACTAGTAGAGTTTATTTACCGAGTTATTTACAAATACTTTAGCTTATTTACAAAACGTCCAAAACGATTGGCATCGTGAATGTTCGGGTGCGTTCGTAACTTTACATGCGCAAATAATACCTCGATATTTCCTCAATATTTCCTAATAATACCCCAATATTTCCTCATAATACCTTATATTTCCCCATTTTACATTGTATTTCCTGATATTTCCTTGTACTACCTAATATTTCCCTGCATTTCCCCGTATTACCACATAATTCCCCAGGCTGGTGACAATAATTCCTAGGTGGTTTACCCCTCGAGTATACTATTATAATAATGAACTATTTTTTAGGTTCTTTTTAAAATGATATATCACAACCTAAATTTTTCTTAAAAAAACAACTAAATATACCTAAAAAACAAAAGCCATAGACTTCTACAAAATTGTCATTTTTAGCCATATTTCGTTTGTTTTTGACAAAAATATACCGTGTTGTATGTATATCAAATAAAAGGATTTTTAATTTTCTTTTAAATAAAAGCTAAAATTGTAAACAATCTAAAGAATGTTTTGCTGTATTATGCAAACTTCAAATTTTATCTATTACCTATAAGATTTTTGAGTCAAGATCAACATTAAATTATTATTAGTTATTAAATAGTTTTAAAAAAATATCTCAAAATTTAAATATAACTTTGGCCTAGTTTTTTATCCAAATCTATCGAAGCGTTTTTTTTTAATAAAATTAAAAGTGGTAAAATTTCTCAGATATAAACGTAGTAATTTTACTTCACTAATTTTATTCAAAAAAACTCGTCGAGCGATTTGGCTATAAAACTAGTCAATGTTACTTATTTGTACAAAAGAAGTGATATTTATATAAATTTTTGTTAAAAAGAATTATTTATTTTTTAAGTACAGTTGTATTCAATAAAAAAGCGTACAAGAATTAGAATGAGAGAAAACTTTCACCCATAATATAACTAGTGGTATGATTATCATCGATGATATTTTCGAATTGAAACCGAGCTGCAGATTTCACGAGTCCGCAGGACGAGTGAAATGTGCTGCTTCGGTTTTAATGAGTAAATATCATCGATAATTAATCATACCACGAGTTATATTTAGTGAGAAAATATAATGAATTTTAGGATTTAACGAATTTTTAGTTTGACATTTGAAATTAAAATGTGCTTTAAAATATAAAAAGACTTTAATAAACCTTATTTATTCAAACTTACCTTAATTTTATTATCGTTTACACCAACCCATCGATCTTTTAGAGTTTATAATTCATTATTTTAATCATTTAGGTAACAAACACAGTATTTAAATGACAACAAATGTCAAATCAAAAAAACGTCAAAGTTCATAGTAACGTGTAAACAAGATGATAAAAATTATTGCCGCTGTGATAAAATACGTCACTATGGAATACTGGCATTTTATTGGTTCTAATATTAATGAATTATATTGTCACAATAATATTGTTGCTTAAAAGTTTAAAACCAGCTTATCACTGACATAAGTCATTAAAATAATTACTTTAGGTTATAAAGAGCATTGACGTCGTAGGTTAATTAAATAATTTTACAAAAATTATTACCTATTACAAATGAAAAAAAAAACATTAAATTTTTTTTATATTTACTTAGTCATGTATCACTGTTTTTCTATTACTTGAGCCAATCTATTTGGGATGGACTGCATATGGATTATTTCTTAAATATCCCAAAACAGCACATTTTGGGACGACCTGAAGTAACTTTTTGGTTTAGTAAATTTTCCATCCTCCCAGCGTTGCTTAATTTTTAATATACCTAGATTTTTTATTTCTATTATACAACTGCGCCACAGCACGAATTTACCATTCTTCTTCGATTGATGATACTATTTAACTTAAATAAATTTTAAGCCTTTTTAACTTGAGATAACTGACGAGGCATTTTTATTTTCTACTGTCAGTTATAGTGACCAGTTTTACGCAATAATGTTGACAGTTTTCTCTCATTCTAATTCGTACGCTTTTTTAATGAATACAACTGCACAGTGTAGAGTTGCATATGGCATTTAAATTACGCATGTTTTTTATTTATTTAAAAAAAAGTTTTGCTTCCTGCACAATTAATGGCCAAAAATGTAATTTTTGTGTGTTCGCTTCATTTCAGGGAAAGATTCTTGAGTAAACGGTCCCCGTTCAGCGACAGCGAGGAGATCAGTAAGACCCTGGGTACAGGGCCTCTGTGGGGGTCCTGATGCAACTGGGGACAAGAAGGGCGAGCCGCCCCTCGAGCGGCTCACCGTCCACACGCCGCGGCAGCTGTGGGACGCGGTGCTCAGGGACCACACGCTCTACGTGGCCCTGCCTCAGCACGTGCTGCCCGACGGCTCGCGCGATGACTTCGTCGCTCTATTGGAGGCGGCCGAGGAGAAGCTCGAATGCCAGCACGTCGTAGTGGTAAGTTGACGAGGGACCCGAAAACGATCACTCAAACCTGCCGGTGGTGGTAATCCATATCAAAATCTATATACCGATCCTTCATTTGAAAGCTATACATTAGGGTGATTCATTTCCGCAAAGTTTTTGTTTTCTTCGGTGCTCAAGCAAAATATTAATCTGCATATAGAAAAAAAAATTCTCAACAAGTTTGAGCTCTTAATATAAATTTTAAGTAGGTACTTACTATTTAAATTTAAAGTTTTACCGTTTAAAATGCATGTAAAAAATATATTTTTTTTTTCAAATTTCTAATGCTTACCCACCTTTGACAAAATTGCAAATCGGTTTAATACACCTTATGGGGAATTTCACGCTCTTTAAAATTGCTTTTGAGTTTTTTTTTGTAACTCGCATAGTCCTACCAGTAGGAGTCGTCAAAGGACAGGTTTTGAAAAAAATCGTTTTTTTTAAATTTTTTTTAACAAACCGCAAAAAGTAGGGAGAAAAAAGGGCTGAATCTTAAAAAAAAGTTATCCAACCAATATTTAATGAATTTACAGCCATTTTTATAACTGAAAACGTAAGAAATTGATAATTACCAACTCATAATGTTATTTAGATTGATTTTTTCTATTTATTATCATTATATTTCCCTACACTAAGAAGTTTTTTAAAATTATTGATTTCTCACTTATAATAACTTTTGAAGAATTAAATTTAGGCAAAAATGTTAAAAGACCTTTTTTGTAGAACATTAAATTTCCTTTAAGAATCCGACGTGAGCTTTTTTAAATATTCATTGATTCATTAGTTACAAAATTTCAAAGTAAAAAGGGCAAATCGAAAAAACACATCGATTTATTAAGCTCAATTACTCGGAAACGGCTCGTCTGACGAAAATTTTCAATCATACCTTTTTTGTAGAGAATTTAATTTTATATAAAAATAAGTGAAAAGGAATTTTTTTCACTTTAATGTTTTGACAGTTCTAACGTAAAACATCATATTAAGACTAAAAATCAAAAATAGCGATCTTAAAAGTAATATTAAGGGCTCAAATTTTCACAAAAATTTTTTTTGTCATTCTGAATGACATTCTCGATATATTTTTCAAAAAAAAAAATAGTCAATTTTTTTGGCCCAGTCTACTATACATAAGCATTCCATCTGCGGTACTTCTCATCATCATAAACTTCCTGATGAAGCTGGTATTTGTGGGATTTAATTTTTTTTTAGACCCAGTCTTATCTGGTCCACTTTAACAATGTATTTTATATATATAAATAATTGAAGGAAAGAAGCCCATTGATTGTATTTTATAATCAATAAAGCCATTATTATTACACTATGATGGTTTACAAACTTTTTTTCCTAACATTAAGTACTCCAGCTTAGTTTAACTAATTTTGGGCCGCTGATTTAAAAAATGTCATTAGTTTTTCTCTAGGACGACTAGGGTTTAAAATAATTTCGTAATAAAATGCTCTGCTCAATCACCTCAAAATTTTAATATTCCTGCAAAATTAAAGTAGTAGGTATATCTCATAAAATTTTGTAATGAAATTTTGCGTTGGTTTTTCTTGGGCGTAAAGGTACAACAACAAAAACAACAAATTTACAACGACGACATAAATTAAACATTCAATTTTCTTAGTTTCTTTAAGAAACTTTCTTGACCCATCACTGGTAATATTCATAAGAAAAAATTGAACCTACACCTCGCCTACATATTAGTATCTGTGATACAATTGCTGTGTGCAGTCCCGGTTGCATAGTATGTACCGATTGCGGCAAAGGCCACGTCGTTTGACGGTGTGGATCACCTGATGTTCTTACATCTCGCCTCTGTTGACTTAACAACCGAGCATATAAGCTGAGGGAGTAATTTGTTTTGATTGTGTTCCACTACACCAAGTTGCCCGACACTGATGAGACCCAATAAAGGTCGAAACAGCTGTCTGTCGGTATTTGAAGTTGGTGGAACGCATTCAAAACAAAAATCTTTGACGACATAAATGTTCTCCTCCTTTCTATTTCTCTGCCACTTCCATTACCACATTTTTGGTTCTTAAAATCACTTTCAAGTAAAAAACAATTTATAGTTTAAATTTTAAATGTCAATAATTAAGATGCACTTAGTGTGCTTGAACGATAAAGTGGATAAAGGCGCCTTTATATTTCAATTCGATATTAAATTTTGATAAGACTTAATAAATAAGATTCGAGATTAAATTTTTGGGTACTTTGGGCATGATGTGAATAAAAACATATCAAACAATAGTCGAAGAGTAATGCTTATACCGAAACCCATTTACTTTGTTGCCTTTTCAATTTAATTGGTAATTAAAAAAACGACACAAAAATTTCGAAAAATGATACTTTTTACCAAAAAAACATTATAATTTTAGTTTTGGTATTTAATAAAGCACTTCTCTGCAGAAAAGTGCTTTATTAAATATCCCTTACAAATACGTAAAAAATAAACTGAACATCCAAAATAGATTTAAGGTAAAAAATTTAATAAATAATCAAAATATAAACAAAAAACTTCCATTTTGAGATAATTGGGCAGAGCATTTTATTACGCAATTATTTCGAATCCTAGACGTCATGGAGCAAAACGAGTGGCATTTTTGAAATCAGCAGCTCAAAATTAGGTAATATAGGTGGGCATACTAGATGTTAGTAAATCGAACTATCATAGTGTTATTATTGTTTATAATAAAGTTTTCATTGTCTTTGTTTTGCAGGTGTTTTCTTCTGAAAGGAAGGATAGCTTGGCTTTAGCGAGAACATTCATGTTCTTTGGCTTCAGAAAACTGGCTCCCACTTCTCCAATGGTACCTCGTTCCATGTCAACTGGAAACATTTGCATGATTTACAACATCGAGTAGTTGACTCCCTGATCAGCACTAACCTCTCATTTTGTTACCTCTAAGTTTCGGCTTTAGTAATATCTAGTTCCATGTTCATGGTGCTTAATGCAGAGCAATGCAGTTTCTTAGTGGCTACGTAAATAGTTTTGTTTTATTAATAACCTAATGCATCACTCACATTTAAAAATCATTTAATTGTAGGAAAATATTTTGTTTTGTTATTAGTATATTTAGGTGTGTTTGCTATATATACAAAAAATGAGAGGTATTTACATAATTAGATTGCGACGAAATCATTGTATTCTTATTATAGTGTGGACATATAATATTAAAATGTAAAAAAAAAATAAAAAAATTACAAAAAATCTAAAAGTATTTTATAAGTTTTAAAACAATTAATAATGGATTATTTTTTGAATAATAAAGATTTCATTTATTTTATTGCATTTGCATACAATATTTGTGCCGTTATTGTTTGTTTTAACTTGTGTTCAGTGTTTTTGTTAATCAATTAAGGTTTTTAACCAAGTTTAAGTAGTTTTATTCACATTTATTAACTATATTCATTCCATTTAAATGAATAGATAGATTTTTAACATGTATATTCAGAATAAATACTTTGTTTCATTACAGAATTTTATTTATACAACTATTCATAAAATATCGTAAAATATAAAAATATATAATTGATAATAATTATAATTTAATTCTTAAAACCTTCAACGAATTAACTTGTAGTGTTTTAAAAGTAAATTTCTTAAAAAAATAGTATTTGGCACAAACTACAAATGCTTATTTTTGTGCTACACTGTCCTATGGAGAAAGGCAGTAACTACCAAAGAAAGCAAAATGCGTTTTCTTGTGCTATGGTAAAGCTATGGAAAATTAATGATTGTCTAGAAAAGTTTATAAACGAGTTGCATACTTTACTTTTCGTACGACAAATACTTTCTAAATGTTAAATTAAATATTTGTATAGAGCGACATCTATAAAACAATAGGGGAATCTGTGTTACCGTCAAATGTCAAATTCGAAATGTATCCCTTGAAAATGGATTAACAACAGTTTTTAACAGTGAAAATGAAGGGTGGAATCCGAACCCGAATTTAAGTTATATCTAGTTTACTGCCGGCGAAATTAAACTTTTCAAATATTGGCATTTTAATGCTTTTGTATTGAAATAATAAAATAATGTTCACATTTAGTATTATTTTACAAGGAGGGCACTTTATTTTAACGATTGTATTTGACAACTGTCAACTAACTTAAAGCTAACTTCTGCCCGTGACTAAAAATCTGTTGCTAACTTCAGTCCGTGACTAAAACGCCATAGAGCCACAACTTGTCAATGTGTATTTAAAAGGTCACTTAGTGTGATGGAAACATTTACGATAATGGGCGTTTTAAAGGTGGGAGTAAAACAAATCAATTAATACGTACTGCTTTTTATAAATATGTAGTTTATGGTAATTTTCCACAAATTTCTTGTTTAGCAGTTAGGTACTGCCTTTCTCCATAGTAGTGCATGCCTACACCTACACAGATTATAAAGATTATACCTTCATGCCTATTAAATTCGGTCGAGGTAATATCTCCATTTAAAGAGTTTCACAAGTGTTATTTTCCATATATTCTTTCAAAAATTCGTTTCTAAACTCCAGCAACAAAAAAGGAACATGATTTTATATCAAAATCTCACAAAACAATTTGTTCGGCACTTTAAAATTGTCATTTCAAATCTCATCTTGTGCTGCCAACTTAAGAAACCCAAAAATATGACAGTTTTAAACCTTAATGTTGCCTTTATAACCACAAATTAACAATTTATATTGTTTCTTATCAACTTTTTACGTTGTTTTTAGATTTTAATGGTAGTTTAATTTGTAATAAAGTATTAATTTGTTAATTAAAATACAACGTTTTATTTTGACTACATTGGCACCGCTGAATTGGCTGTCACGGCCTACTGTTATTTATTTTAATAAATTATTTATCAAACTCTTTATTAAGTTCTATCCATGGAGCCTACACAAGGAGTCCGAACTGCATGTAAACAAGAATCTTCCTAAGGAAAGTAGGCGCTGGTGTCCCGTTTATTCTGAAACAATTGACTAATTTGTACCGAAACGCTACCAAAAGAGCAGACGTCAGGACGCATCAACAATCAGCGCCGCTGGTGGTGAAAAAAAAAAGACTTAATTTGTGCAATTTAGAGGTTTTGTCAATTTTCGTCAATTTTCCCTATTAAGTTCGGGCTCCTTGTGTAGGCTCCTTGGTTCTATCATAAAACTCGTGTGGTACCCAGTGTTCCCAACCTTTCAGAGTAATAATTCCCTTGTTGCATGGCAAAAATTCCCTATTTCGTGCCAAAATTCCCTGCTTTCAATGTTGCCAAGAAAAATGACTTCATATCAAAAATACAATTTTTAAAATAAATTTTATTATGTTTGTAACAAAAAAATATGATCTAAAAATAAAATAAAATACAAACGTCAAAACAACATCTGAGGCGTATACTGCAAAAGCAACCTAACTGAAAAAAAAATCATTTTGTGTTTTATCTTCAAATATTTCTATTATGCGCTTATCGAGTGAGCTAGCCTAATAAATTGTATTTTAATATACAGAGTAGTAACTACTATATAAAGGTAAACATGAAATAAAATTGATTTAATTTAATTTAATTAAAACTCGCAGTTGACATATGGTTGGTTCTTCTAGCCACAACATTTGGGCAGCGTTGTCAAACTTTTTTTATTTTGGGTCACAGTGACAAAAAAAAGTGTAATCTATAACGTGGGCTTTTTAATAATTAATATGAAAAATTCCCTAATTTTAACAATTTTTACTAAAAAATTCCCTTTTCCCTTTTTGGTACCAAAATTCCCTAAAAAGGGAAAATTCCCTGCAGTTGGGAACACTGGTGGTACCATCATTAGTGCAAGATAGGTATATTGAAAAAGGTAAAATAATAACAAAATGAGTTGTATAAAAATTTATAAAACATTTTTTAACAAATTAAATTAAAACTTAAGCAAAGTTTGAATAGGTTTCAAAACTTTTGATATATTCGACGGCCGCGTTGTAAAGAAACTTAAATTGTACCTAAAATTTAATAAAATAAAATTATGTAAATTTATACCAAAATATTGTTTACCTTGTTAATAAACTCCCGTCTGTTTTGTCGAACGTATCGCACGGCTTGGCATACGTCACATTCTTGTTCCAGTTTAATTTTTTCGATAATAAAAGTCAGAGAAATATATAAACCACAAGCTGTAGCTCCGTTACTAAAACAAAAATAAATAATTTTAAATACCTATATGTATAGACTGGGCCAAATTTTTTTTTAAAAAAGTAGGTATATCGAAAATATGGTTTGGGCTGACAAAAAAAATTATTGTGAAAGTTTTTGTCTCAGAACTCCCAAACCATTGAGTTTAACAAAATTGACTCAGAAATATTAAAAAAAAAAAAATTAAATGCTCTACAAAAAAGGTTAAAATAAAATTTTCCGTCAGATGAACCGTTTCCTTAAAATCATGTATTAAAAATTTGTATAGTTTTACATTTTGATCTTTTAATTTTGTAATTCATGTAAAAATCAGTACCCATAAAAAACCGATAAATATTCTTATGTAAAATCAAATGCTTTACAAAAAAAGCCTTTTAACATTTTTGGCTAAATTCACTCAATCAAAAGTTATTCAAGGTTAAAGTTGAAGTCAAAAGGAAATTCTTGTTTTTTCCTCTGTAGATTTATTTTTTTATGGATGATAATTTGATTTTTTTCTTTATAAATGTGTATTATATAACTAATTAACAATTTCCAATAAAAAAAAACAACATGATTGTTATTATTTAAACGATAAACGATAGGTAACAGTGAAAATAATATTTTCTATTTAGCTTTAAAGCTTCTTGAAGCGAAAAAATTCTAATGTGTTATTTTTTTTAATTTTCAGTAATTTTATCACATAAAGATTTTCATCGATAAAAGAATCCAAGTTTTTAACTGACCCAAAAAAAAATCTAGAGCGGAAAAAACAAGAATTTCGTTTTGACTTCAAACTTAACCTTGAATAACTTTTGATGGAGTGAATTTAGCCAAAAATGTTAGAAGACTTTTTTAGTAGAGCATTTGATTTCCCATAAGAATATCTATCGGTTTCTTTGGGGGTACTGATTTTTACATAAATTACAAAATTCCAAAGTTAAAAGATCAAATTGTAAAACTATACCAATTTTTAAAGCATTATTGTAAGAAAACACAAATTACAATCAAACCATTTTTGTAGAGCATTCAATTTTCTTCCAAAAATATTCCTGAGTCAATTTTGTTAAACTCAATTGAAACCATTAATGGTTTGGGAGTTCTGAGACGAAAACTCGCTCAGGAAAAAAAATCTAAAATTGCGATGATAGACCCCTTAATATTAATATTATGGACTTTCACCATAATTTTTTTGTCACCCCAAACAATATTTTCGATATACTTTACAAAAAGAATAGTCGATTTTTTTGGCCCACTCTAATGTATACCTAGACGCTTTTTAAGAAACTCACTAGCAAGTTACAATTATAGGATTAGATTTCTGAACCAACGTATCTGTTTCCTGCAAAAAACTCAAAAAATTCGTTACAGTCATTGGGAGAACTTTGTTTGATTTCCAATTCTTATGTAGTACGATTTTAACGCTGAACATTTCTTCGTCCACTTTGAGTTTGGCGTGTATCAGGTCGAAAAGTGGATAACTTTCTGATTTTTCATGAAAGACTGTTATATTATCTGTCGGGTGGAGTTTTGTATTCTGAGCAGGCCAAAATATTCCACAGGTCTTATCGTTTAAGTCCACTTCGTTCAGGGATATAATAAGAGAGGATTCAGTTTCCAAAACCATGCGCCAAAAATCACCGACAGTATTGGGCATCGGTTGTTGGGTTGCTATAAATTTGTTTTGGTCATTAAAGCCGTCCACATAAACAGCGTTAATGTATGTCGAGGTTTCACCTTCCCGAGCATTATAGGAAAGGTAAATTTTACCACTATTTTCTGAAACAAAAAAAATATTTTACATTTCTCAGAACTTTTTGATAAAAATCATTTTTGGTCAGTTTTAGTTCATTTGTCATTTTTTAAAAGTAATCGTTTCTACTGAGATGTTCAAAGCTTGTTTTTTCTTCTATAGTTTAAAGCTTTTACTTTTTAATTTATCGCCAAAAATACAGTTGGCAATACTAGTGTGTTATGTTGAAAATTTCATCAGCAGCTGTACCGATATGGGAGCGTCTGGTTCCAATGAACCAACGAATTTTACAATGACTTCAAATTCGAATAAACCGTTAGCGTTTTCCTTTAATTTCAATATCAATGCGAATTCTGCTTGTAATAGTAATAAATAAATAGAATACTACTTTAAATATGAACGTGAGTTATAATCCATAACTCACTAGTGAGTTATGGATTATAACACACTAGATTGTTATTTGATAGTTTACTTGTCTAAAATGACATTAATAATGACTAGGGATGGGATTTTAGTTATTTTACCTTTTTTTAACCGATGTAACTATTTGAAAACCAATAATGCCAAAATGTGTTTTAAAAGATTTTCTTTTATATGAACCTAACTTGTTTTTACCTTTTTTACCTTTTTTGGAGATTTTTGCTTTTAACTACCTTTTTTATACTTTTGTTACCTATTTTTTTTAACTTTTTTTCACCTTTTTTACCTTTTTGGAGGTTTTTATACTTTTGTTACATATTTTTTAATTTGTCAGTTTATTTTCATATATTTGTTACCTATTTTTACGTATTTTTACTTTTTTTTTTGTTCTTTTTAAAATTTGCGCCAATATTTTATCCAGGCCCTAGTAGAAATTTTACGTAGAAACAACGTTTTTCCCACGTTGGCAAAACCTAACTTTTATGTATAATTTTATGTTGAAATGTCCCGGTTTATAACGTTATCTGACAACGTTAGTTTTTAATGTTATAAAAAACGTGGGATTTACGTATTATAAAACGTTGCAAATACGTGGGTTTTGTGTATTATACAACGTTGCTTTTATGTATTATAAAACGTTGCAAATACGTGGGATTTGTGTATTATACAACGTGGGAAATATGTGGGTTTTGTGTATTATAAAACGTTGGAAATAGGTGGGGATTATTGTATCATAAAACGTTGGATTTTTTTATAAATTTGGGTAGGATTTTTCTTTATTATTGGAAAATTCAATATATATTTAAAAACAACAAAAATTTATTGTACAGGGTGATCCCCTATAATGTCGCCCCCCTTTAACTTTTTTATTTTAAGTGTCCCAAAAAATTTAAAAGTGTGGTTATGTACGAACTAAAAAATACTTTTTTTCTACGTTTAAATAAAATTGGAAAATTGATCAGTATACAGGGAAAAACAAAAAGTTTATTTTTTTTCAATGGATCACCCCATATATGAATTTATTTTTCGATTCCTTGTAAAATTCTGAGCATAATTCATATAACATACCATATACCTAAATTCAACCGTTTCTGAAATATTTAAATTATTTTTAAGATAATAAGTTGAAATAGTTTGTCTTTCTCTGTCTGAGTAGGCCATTTTTACTTATTTAACAAGACATATTGACATAATATCACTATAATAATTTATTTTCAATAAAAATTTTGGTATACTGATGCTTCTTGATTTCCAACAGTTTAAAAAACCATTTAATGATAACATTTCGAATGCGAATATTTCAAAAACAGTTGAATTTAGGATATGCTTTGTTATATGAATTATGCTCAGAATTTTACAAGGAATCGAAAAATAAATTCATATATAGGGTGATCCATTGAAAAAAAATAAACTTTTTGTTTTACCCTGTATATTGATCAATTTTCCAATTTTCTTTAAACGTAGAAAAAAAGTATTTTTTAGTTCCTACATAACCACACTTTTAAATTTTTTGGGACACTTAAAATAAAAAAGTTAAAGGGGGGCGATATTATAGGGGATCACCCTGTACAAAAAAAATACTTTGGAAAAAAAATTCCCAATTAACAAAATCTAAAAAATATTATCTAATACTATTATACTTAAAGTAAACAAATTAAATTATAACAAAATAGCTTTAACAAAAAATTTACAATGGTATTTTAAAAAGAAAAAATATTGCCTATATATATAAAAATTTTCTATACAAGATACTACAACTTTTAAATCAATATTAAAATTAATTAAAAATACCCAATTAACAAAATCTAAAAAATATTATTAATATAATTAATATAATTATAATATTAATATTATATACCTACTTAAAGTAAACAAATAAAAATATAACAAAATAGCTTAGACAAAAAATTTTCAATGGTATTTTGAAAAGAAAAACTATTGCCTATATTCATATAGGTATTAACAATTTTCTAGATACAAGATACTACAACTTTTAAATCAATATTAATAAAAATCTAAAAAATCCTATTTAAATATTAACTAGAAAAATTCAAATATAAGTAACATAACTTAAAACATGGCCTAAAAAAAATAACAATGCTGGTATTTTAAAGAGAAGAAATATTGCCTATTAACAATTATTACAAATTTTCTAAATAAAGGATTAAACAAATTATAAATTAGCAACAAAAATAAAAAGTCAAAGAAATTTAAGTAGTTACCTAGTTAAAATATAAGTCAATAAAACAATTAACAATGAAAGTGAGTTTAAAGTCACAAATTTTTAATTTTCATTAAGGGTTTTGGCAAAATAAATTTTAGCAATTACGAATATATAAGAAAAAATGTGAGGATTTTTGCTTTTGAATAAAAATTTAGAGCACAAGCTTTGAGTAATCACAATTTTTGCCTCTGGAAAGAATTTAGCCAGTCATTGCCAGGAAGGTTTTCTTTAAAACAACTAATTATCACTGCTTTGTGGTTTAGATATGAGTGCACTCTTTTGTCTCTTGTCTTGCAAAACATTATCCATTATCCGCAGATCATCTGTGGCAGATGTAATCATTACACTTGCAATCTACCCAAAGGATAGACGATTGTTTATCACCTCTGCCACGGCCAATTCAATATTTTCTGGGTGATAATTTCTTTGATACACTGTTCCAGGAACATGTTTATGCTTTTAAGGCATCGTCACAGAACAAAACTTATTTTACATAAGGCATCGTCCAAATAACCCTAAAAATCCATGCAAAAAGCAACTGTTTAAAAAAAACACTAACAAATTGTTTGTGGTGATTGTTTAGGTTACTAAAAGTTATTTGCCATCCCTATCAGATAAAAATTACCTTATCTTTTAATTATTTTTCCAAAAAACACGGAAGAATTTGCACAAAATTTCGCACGATGTCAACACTTAACCTAAAATAAAGAAATAAACACTTCGTGATAGAGCGGTAAATTTGAATTTTTCTTCGTTTGTTCCGTGTAACCCATAGAAATAATACCACAGAATTTTGTGATAATACTATGGTGTAACCTCTGTTGTTCCATCACCTAACTACGATAGTAAACCTTTATTGAAACTATAATAATTTTAGGTATCTAAAAGTAGGTTTTGTGTATTTCGGCCTTATTTTTAAAACTATGACTTTAAAAATTATATTGCATAGGTAGTTAAATTTGATTTTACTTTTATAACTAATGTTACAAAGACTAAAAATTTTAAAAAAATCCACATTAAAAATTTTCTCGACGGGACTTAAAATAATTTTATGTTGCTAAATGTGTGTTTTGAAACGTTGTTGCAACGTTTCTAGCATACAATTTTACAACGTAGTTTGAAAGTGGGTTTTGTGTATTTCGATCGTATTTTTGATATTATAACTTTAAAAAATGTATTGCAGAGTTTGATTTTACTTTTATAAATAATTTATTATAAAAAATAAAAAAAAAACAAATTAAAAAATTTGCCGGCGGGACTTAAAATAATTTTATGTTGCTAAATGTGTGTTTTGGAACGTTGTTGCAACTTTTCTAGCATACAATTTTACAACGTAGTTTGAAAGTGGGTTTTGTGTATTTCGGTCATATTTTTGATAATATGACTTTAAAAATGTGTTGAAGGGTTTTATTTTACTTTTATAAGTAATGTATAATAAAAAAAAATTGAAAAAAAAAATCCTCAGTAAAAAAATTTTCGTCGGGACTTTGAAAAAATTTTATGTAGCCAAACGTGGGTTTTGGAACGTTGTTGCAACGTTTCCAGCAATACAATTCTGCAACGTTGTTTGAAAGTGGGTTTTGTGTATTTCGCTCATATTTTTGATATTATGACTTTGAAAATGTGTTGAAGGGTTTTATTTTACTTTTATAAGTAATGTATAATAAAAAAAAATTGAAAAAAAAATCCCCAGTAAAAAAATTTTCGTCGGGACTTTGAAAAAATTTTATGTAGCCAAACGTGGGTTTTGGAACGTTGTTGCAACGTTTCCAGCAATACAATTCTGCAACGTTGTTTGAAAGTGGGTTTTGTGTATTTCGCTCATATTTTTGATATTATGAATTTGAAAATGTGTTGAAGGGTTTTATTTTACTTTTATAAGTAATGTATTTATAATAAAAAAAAATTGAAAAAAAAATCCCCAGTAAAAAAATTTTCGTCGGGACTTTGAAAAAATTTTATGTAGCCAAACGTGGGTTTTGGAACGTTGTTGCAACGTTTCCAGCAATACAATTCTGCAACGTTGTTTGAAAGTGGGTTTTGTGTATTTCGCTCATATTTTTGATATTATGACTTTGAAAATGTGTTGAAGGGTTTTATTTTAATTTTATAAGTAATGTATAATAAAAAAAAATTGAAAAAAAAATCCTCAGTAAAAAAATTTACGTCGGGACTTTGAAAAAATTTTATGTAGCCAAACGTGGGTTTTGGAACGTTGTTGCAACGTTTTCAGCAATACAATTCTGCAACGTTGTTTGAAAGTGGGTTTTGTGTATTTCGCTCATATTTTTGATATTATGACTTTGAAAATGTGTTGAAGGGTTTTATTTTACTTTTATAAGTAATGTATAATAAAAAAAAATTGAAAAAAAATCCTCAGTAAAAAAATTTTCGTCGGGACTTTGAAAAAATTGTATGTAGCCAAACGTGGGTTTTGGAACGTTGTTGCAACGTTTCCAGCAATACAATTCTGCAACGTTTCCAAGACAACGTTTTAACTACGTATTTCCCACTTAAAATCATACATTAAAATAACGTTTCCAAGACAACGTTTTAACTACGTATTTTCCACTTAAAATGATACACTAAGACAACGTTATGAGTATAACAAATTATTATACAAATTTGCAACGTTGTCTGAATGTATGCAAACGTTATTTTCTACCAGGGGGGCGTGCAACTCAACGGTATAGAATTTTTTCTTATGGTTACAGACTGTAACAGTAACTTTCTTTACAGTTACCTTCTTTGTAGTGACTCACTACTAGTGAGCTTATGTTCTGTCATAGAACTTCTGTGTAGTGAGTGTCACTCAGTAAAACACAGTTTATTGCATAGAAATAGTTTATTGTGGGTATGTTCTGTGTTTGGGTATGCGGCTAAACAAAATTATAAACGAAACTTAAACTTTTAATGTTTTTTTTTACCTAAAATGCTGTTTTTTTTACCTAAAATGCTTTTTTTAGTACCTTTTTAGTTACCTATTTTTCAGTTTTTAGTACCTAAATATCCCATCCCTAATAATGACAGTCACAACTGTCATGTTTTGGATAAAATATTTTTATACCAAGTAAAATTAAAAGTATTAGTACAGTGGCAGACACGGAATTTTGAACGTCATAATTTGGTTGACCGTGTATAAATCTGTAAATAGCAAAGATACAATATTGACTTTTTTGCTTTTTCTGCCAAAATGACAAATCTAGTGATAACCAGAAGTAATTACCTTAAAGTTAAGTTAAGTCCATAAAGAAAGTCTCAACGGGATTATAGTCGTTCAAAATTCTGTGTCCGCCACTGTACGTATAATTAGAATTATTTATAAATTTGTAATTCAAAATTTAAAAAGAAGCACTTACCTGGAATAATTTCATTAAATCTGTTTTTATTCATATAAATAGCGAAATTTTCGTATTCTTCTTCTACAATGGATCTTAAGGCTCTATCTTGCCACTTTACATCTTCCAAATACTCTAATTGGTCATCAATTTCGAACTGAATAATATTGGAAACATTATTAGCCAGTAAATTATCGCAGGGCAATGAAGTAATTTTCCCAAAAATGTATTCCAATATGACCAGATGCACCAGCTTGTATTGTTCATAGTTGTCCACCATGTTTGGCCGTCTTGATCTGAGATATTCAAAAGAATTTAGTATATCAACTTTGTGCTCGAACTGTGCCATTTTTAAGGATATATCGCAGAGAATCACTGCACCTGATCTACCCACTCCAGCACTACAATTTAAAGTTTTATCACATAGGGAAATGGTGCCAAATAATGATGATGAAGAAGAAAATATATTACAACGAATTGAGACAGTAAATATAAGCATAAAACGTACCTGCAATGAACTACCATAGGAGTAACTTTATTGTTTGCCATTATTTCCAAAATTGGAATTAGACTTCTGGGATACAAAGGTACTCCATGGTCTGGCCATGCTGTGAAATGTATTTGTTTTACATCTCTTTGTTCGTTTTTCATGTTTATTTCGAAATATCTAATGGTATAATTTGCGAAGACTTCTGTTGAAATAAATCTTACATCGATATCTCCAAACGATTTACATTCATTTATATCTGGCCAGTATTTTTCCACTTTTTTCTAAAATCAAAAAAATAAATATATCCTGATTATAATAATACCAACAAACTTTGGATGCCTTATTATCCTCATAGATATTGGCAAGCATTAAAATATTTTTGGCTTTAACTTCCCAAATCATTCTCCAAAAATCGTTAAGTGTTGATGATTTGGGTCCCTGTGTTGCTATATATGCATTTGGAGATTTATAACCCTAAAAATGATTTTTTAAACTCTATCCAGTAAAGAAGGATACATCAAAATAATATTTTCAGCTGTACTTACATCGATATAGTTGGCATTTATGTAATCAGAATATTTATCATTATTAATTTTCTGGAGCTTGACTCTCGAGTGATCATCTGAAAAAGAAAGTTATCTAATAAACAAATTGCCAAAAATATTTACTATTTATTACAGGCTTTTAGATTCGCATATCTATTTTTGGATTTGTTTGCTTCTAATGATCCATAATCCCATGACTGAGTTTGTCCACGTTGTAAAAGCTTAAAATAATCATTAATTAAGGTTGCATTTAGTAAAATATCGATTATTTTTTATAATGGTAAGCGGTTTTAAACAAATTAGGTATAACAGAAAAACTATAAAACTGGACCACTGCTAATGACCAACGAGAACATATTTAAAAACGATCCATAAGTCTGGACCTAAAAAGAAATTTCTTAAAACCGTTTGTCATTGAATAGCTCGTCATTTTTTAACTATTCGTTGTCGCAGATCTTCAATAACATAATGCTGAGTTTTGTAGACCACTGCAGATTTTAAGTGACTTCATAAGAAAAAGTCTAATGGTGTCAGATCTGTAGATCTGGAAGGCCATTCTATTGGTCCTCTTCTACCAATCCACTGTTCTGGATAATTCTGATCCAGCCAAGCTCTAATATCTTCTACATAATGAGATGGAGCCCCACCTTGTTGAAAATTTAATAAATTTTTATTCAAAGCTAACTCATCATCCTCTCCTCTTTGATATTCTAGTTCATTTATTATTAGTGTTCTTTTTGAAAAAATTACACCAATAATCTCTGATTTTCCACACCCGTCTATAGAAACTAACATTTTGATAAAAAGATAATTATATCCTGAAAATTATACCAGATGATATTCCATTATTAACCGCCATCTATGTAAAATATCATTTTAGAGTAAAAATATCGTAGAAACTACATAAGTTTTAAACAACCTCAAATCTAGTAAATATATTTTATTTACCTCAAACTGATTTTTTAAGTCACCGTTTTCCAGATTTTTTTTGACGTAATCCCTATATTCCCGTATATCCACAATATTTGAATGAGAGGAATCCTAAAAACGGGTAGGTAAGTATATATTTTTTACATTTAAACTTTAGAATTTAAGGGTGAATATATTGAGATGTCCCCCAAGTGAAAATAATTATTTTTTATTTTTGGTTGTTTCACTGTTAGTCTAAAATGGGTTTTTTGGGAAGCCACCAGGTCTAGTAATAACATAACATAAGTGGTTCTGCACTAATGCAAGAATTTTAAGAAATCATACATTTTGAATATAATAGCTTCACGGAAGAAAGATTCACGGAGGTTAGGATTTCGAATGTTTTTTTTAAACACCCCTTTGAAATAAGTTGTAGCTTTTGACACCATAATATTTAAAAAAAATACAATTGTACATACATAAAATATTTATAAAAAAATCTACTTACTGAGATATTACACTTCACGGTTTTTAAATAGCAAATTAATGAACTTAAACTTTTGAATTATAAAACAGCAACACTCTCATCTGCATATAAATTCTAACTGACCCTCAGGAATGACATGCATCTATAATGTCGTAAACAGAGGTTTTTGCTTATTTAAAATGATTAAAGCGCCATTCGTTGCATAAAATTAAAGCAAAAACAGATTCACGGAGGATAGAATCAATTTTTGTAACATCTACATAAATGGTTATAAAATTATTTCTTTAAATTTTTAATAATATTTTACATTTGATTCGATTGCTTTGGATGTGTTTAATTTACTTAGTGAACTGATATTTTTAGTATGCTTTTACTACCTCAGATATTTGAAAACATATAGGTTAACCTAGAAAGAGTAACAGTCACGGAGGATAGGTTTTAGACTTTTAAAACATTGTAAAAAATAATTAATTGCGGTTAAAAATCTGGAACCTGAGCTGTAATATCTACTTAATTATGAAAGATCAAAACACAATAAAAGTGTAGGTGAATCTTATTTACTTTTATTAAATATCACGGGGTAACACAATCGGGGGACATTTCGTCAGATTCACAATTAAATATTTTTAAACTTACCAAAACAAACGGTTTTATTTTAACCACAGGTTTCCGTAGAAGGTTGCTATGTTCGAGATAATTGGCCATATCTAAAACGTTTATTAAATTAGATAAATGATGAATTTATATAACATTAAGATAAAAAAAATTCTGACCTGTATCTTGCAAATTTTCGATTTGTCTGCAATTATTTGTGCGTCCCATTACTTTTGTCCTTTTTAATAAGTATCTAAAAGAAATTTTAGCTTATACTTGTCTTAATGTGAATAAAAATAACTTACAAAAATGCTACCAAACCACAAACTGGAATTAAAATAAGTAAAAAATATAGATTTTTATTTTCTACTATTACAAAATCTTCAACCAAAATCGTATACTTCTGATCATTCGATCTATTTTTATAAACATTCTCCAAATAAAGATTTACTTTATATATTTCATTGCTGAGAAATTTATATTTGGTAAAAATTATTTCAGGATTATCATTAAAACTTAAATTTTCTCCTATGTAAATTTTTTTAACTTTATTTGCAATAAATAAATGTTTTTTAGTTTTCATCAAAGATCCATTTTTTGGTTTTAACAAATCAATTTGAAGGTATGTTTCACATGGTTTACAATTTTTAATTACATATGGGATGGTTAACAGGATTCCTTTTTCAATTTTTTCTTTCTGGAAATCATTTTTCCAAAAATAAGGTAACTTTGGTGGGCTTGCATCTTTGACTATTACAGTCTCTGAACTGTGCATTGAATTAAAAATTGTTATTTCGTAATCATATTCTTCGCCATATTCCATGGAATAGTTTTGCATATCAAAATCCTTAAAATAATTTTAAATAAATACAAATTTCTTCTACATTTGCTGTCCCTCAACTTTAATAGTTTTTAAAAAATTGAGTTTAAAGCCATTTGGAACTTTACCAAGCGAAATCTTTTGGTTTAAGTGTTTTTAGCAACTAAATATTAGCAAAATTGTAAAATTTAACCCTATCAAAAAATTACACTTTACCCAACAGTACAGAAAAGTAGCTGTCCCACTCGCAATAATATTCACTACTTAATGCTATTTAAACACCTTGGAGTAAAATAACATCCTCCTTTTTTATATACCTGATAGCAAAATTTAAGAATCTTCCAAGAAGATACGACCCGGAATAATGGAATATTCTTAGAACCTTCCCTTATTCCTAAGAACGTTCTTGGGGACTTTTAAAACATTCAATAGATACCCTTTTAATGATGCAATTAGATTCTTAAAAGCTTCTTAAAACCTTCCTAAAAAGCATCCTAAGAACATTTTAAGAATACGTTTTTGGAATGTTCTTAGAAGGTTTCTTATGGAGCTTCTGGGAAGCTTTTTTCTCGATTTCATTTTATGACAGTGAGGCGTATTTGTCGTCTCCTGAAGAATTTTACGAATGTAGAATACAACATATTAGATCTGCCATATTTGGAAATATTCTCAAAAGCTTCCTAGAAGCTCCATAAGAACCTTCTAAGAACATTCCAAAAACGTATTTTTAAAATGTTCTTGGGATGCTTTTTAAGAAGCTTTTAAGAATCTAATTGCATCATTAAAAGGATATCTATTGAATGTTTTAAAAGTCCCTAAGTACATTCTTAGCAATAAGGAAAGCTTCTAAGAATATTTCATTATTCCGGGTCATATCTTCTTAGAAGATTCTTAAAATCAAATTTTGCTATCAGGGAAAGGATTATTAACAATCAAAAAATATATTTATAACCATTTTTATATAAGTTTTTTTAATGTTAGTAAATTTGTGACCCAGGGGACCATTTTTTTCTTTTTTCTTTTATGTTTTAAATAACACCCCTCAAAAACAGGAAAAAACAGGTTTGTATATTAAGGTTCTGTGTTTACTTTTTTCTTCTTTAAATGAACAAGAGTTTTGAAAATGAAATTCGAGTTCTGTTCAATTTTGATTTTGAGACGGGGGCGTAAAATTATATTTTTTTATAAGGAATGAAGTAGCGTGAATATATTTTCGTAAGTAATATCATAAGGGCATTTAATTTTTCCGAAAAGAATCGAAAAAACACGTTGCTAAGTGATATTTTAACAAAATGCATGAGTGCTGGTGGCAACAAAAATCCGAGTCGAAGAGGAGGATTTTTGCACCTGCACGAATGCTTTTTGTTAAAAAATATTACTTAGCATTGTGTTTTTTCGATTTTTTTCACAGGAAAAATTAGATGCCCGAATGGTATTTAACAAGACTATTTCATGAGTAACAGTTAACAATTAAAATATAAATTGCAATTTTTGGTGACAACAGCTGTCAAGTTTTGCCGCGGGTAAACTCGAAAAAACTGCTGACAGGTGCTGTCACACAGTTTTTTCACCTAGAAACCATTTGTAATTCAAAATTGCGCGTTTGTGATTGGTGGAAATTAAGAAGAGGGAAATAGTCTATAGAAAACGTGGTAGATCATCAACCTTAGATGTTGGCCTTATTTAATATAAAATAACATACCATATAATGTTGTAAAGTATTTGTAGTGATGTTGCATTCTTTTTCTGTATTGTTTATTTTATATTTGACCTTTTTTAAATTCCCATGTGTTTCATTTGGACGTCTCCATGACAGTGTTAGTTTATTTCTTATCCATGTGCATGTAATATTCACAGGTTTTTCAGGAACTAAAAAATTATTCTTAAAAAAATATTTTATGTAAAATTAAAAAATTAACCCTTACTCTACTCCTAAGAGTAGTCCTAACTTAGGAGTAGAGTTACGAGGTGTGTTCAGAAAATAACAGGAATTGTTAAATTTCGCGGGTTCGGAGGGTCCGGTTGTCATAAAATTTTCTTTATTATGTTGGTATACATGCCCCCGAAGTATGATAAAAACTTTGGCTGTTTTGATCGTTTACTTTGTCTGTGGCAGCCGCTAAGGTTAGACGTGATTTATGAGCTCAGCGATTTTCGTTTGTTAAAAGAAATGGATCAAAGAAATTTGTATCCAATTTTGCTTAAAAAATGAAATAAATTCTGTGAAATATTAACAAAGGCCTATAGTGAGTCTGCTTTAAGTAAAACAAGAGTTTACAAGTGGTATAAGAGTTTCCAAGATGGCTGTGAAGACGTTGAAGATGACGAACGCCCCAACGCCCAAGCACATTAACAATCGATAAAAACATGGAAAAAGTGGAAGAAATGGTTATAAACTATCAGAGAAGTCGCTGATGATGTTGGTATATCGATTGGCTCATCTCATTAAATTTTTTCGAATGTTTTGGGTATGAAACGCGTGGCAGAAAAATTGGTTCCAAAATTGTTAAATTTTAAACAAAATTTTTGTCCAAAAACAATACTGTAATGATGCCCCAGCCTCCATATTCGCCAGACATGCCTCTGTCTGACTTTCCTATTCCAAAAAATAAAGAAAACCTTAAAGGGTCATCGTTTTGCAAGCATAGATGACATTAAAAGCGCATCGCTGAAAGAACTAAAGGCCATCCCAAAGATCGAGTTTTAGAAGAGTTTCGAGTATTGGAAGAAGAGCTGGCACATGTGCATAATATCCAATGGGGACTATTTTGAAGGCGAGAACATTAATGTAGACGAATAAATAAATATTTTTTCAAAAAACGAAAATTCCCGATATTTTCTAAACACACCCAGTATTTGTTTCCAAACTTGGAAACCCATTGTAACTAACGATGTCCACAAATCTACTAAAGTGGATTTTAGCCCACTTTCACTCAACCGATTGAGCTGACATTTTGAACACACTTTGGGTGCTGATGACTAAACAATCTAGTTTACTCAACATTGTAATTTATTCAAAATGGCCGCCGCCCCAATATGACGGATTACAGTTCCCTGGATATCACATGGGTTTGACGATTGGTTGGGTGACGTCATAATAAATCCAATATTGCGAATAACCTATTTTAGGCATTTACAGCAATTTTTAACGCGTTTAGGCGTATTTTTTTAATAAACCTACCTCCTTCAAGAGTTTTAAATCCTTTATTTATATTAATATTTTTCCTGCTTAAAGTAATTTTATATTCAGTGTTTGGTTTTAAAAGATCCATACATACTTCTGGGATAACCTTCGAATTTGAAACATTTATGGTTATATTGTACATGGTGTGAATACAATTGTATGAAGTTAAATTCTAAAACGAAAAGTTGGTTAATAATATAATTCGGTGGTAGGGTGGGACAAGTTTTGAATTCTGATGGAACTAAAAAAATTGCGTATCTGAATAATATTAAAAAATCAGGCAGTCTATTTAAAAACGAGCATATCTCTATAAGTCTGGAGATAAAAATTTCTCCATACCCTTTCTAGTTATTAACTTACTTATGCTACTAATATACATACCTTAAATTCAAAAATAGCTGATGTATTCGAAGGTTTAATCAAAATTTGATTTTCAGCAATATCTGGAAAAAACTGAGCTAAGATTGGGTCGGTTAAATTATGAAAAATTTACCTAAACAAGGAGTTCCAAAGAATTGATTTAAAGTTCCAGTGCCATACCATAATTTGGCTACATAGATTGTGTTAGGGTTTAAATCTTTTGATTCAAAATAATTCAAATGCTTAGTTAGATTAAATTCCTGGCCATTTGTATCCTAGATTAAAAAAAGTTTGGAATAATCACATTACAATTTAGATGTCTTTTAGAGGACTTTGAATATGACATAAAAACAGTATGTGTTTGTAACAGTCCTAATTAATTGTCGTTTAAAGAATATCCTAAAAATGTAAAAATTGTGTTTTTTACCTTTAAAACCAGTGTTATGTTATCACTTTTTCTACGGGTTACCGATATATTTACAAAATTCTGGGTTAAATTTAAAATATTAATTTTGTAGGAAACTAAAAACAAAAAAATAATTAATTAAATCGTGGTCCACAGAGAAAGAATCAGGCGATTTCTGAAACTTTTTTTAAAAAGGTTTTACAGAATATGTGTTATTATGGGAAATAAAAAATCAAAACCTAAATTTTAGGTTTCCACAAAAATTTTGCTGGGTGGAAAAGTTAATCGCCTGGTTCATTCCCTAGCAGACAATCCTGTGTTAACAAATTAATAAAAAAGTAATGTACATTTCTTGTAATGCATTTTGGCCTGCCTAACGCTTCCGAGATTTGAATTTTTAATTTGTTTTTCATTTGTTTTTCGCAGCTTTACAATTTGTAGATATTACGGCCAACCTGGTTGCATAAAAAAATGTAATGTGATTTTTAAGTTTAGCAGTACAAAATACATTAAAAAAAAGTGGAAACGAATATAAAACAGTATAATTAACCTACATGCACAATTTTTTCCAGTATAATTTGGCATACAAAAACATTCAATTTGCTCCTGGTCATTAAATTCGCAATATTTATTCACGTCATAGTATTTTGTTTCTACGGAACTATTTAGGCCAAAATAGTTTAAAGGGCGTGACTTTTTTAAGTCTATAAAACATATATATAAGTAAATAAATATACACATAAAATATAATTCAAATAAAAATACGCACCATTTACGGTTGGTTCACTACTTGAATCAATTAAAAATGATTTTTCACTATTTGTAAACAATTCGCAACAACCATTTTTTGTAGCCACTTGTCTTAATTCTGTAAAGTGATATTTTAATATATTTATCCATTTTAAGACATTTTATTGGGTACCTTGTTTACTACAATCTTGAATATCGTCAATGTGCCAAAATTGCTTTTCTTGATTAGTATTTATTACTGGCTTTATGTATAAATATGTTTCTTGATTTCTTTTTGCCAACTTTAGTTTTATTTCAATCCATTCTGTGTTCTAAAACAAATGTGTTTTATCAAAAATCTATACTCATATTTTAAACATTTATAATATGTACCTGAAATATTTGTGGAGATTTTTCTTTTCCCTCGAAATAAAAAACAATTTTGCATTTTGAACACATTTTTATGAAAGTTGAAATGCAAGTAGTACTTGGGGGTATTTTTATTTTTTTGGGTTGTGTCTTCTTTGAGGAGTAATGTTTTACTAAAATATATTTTTTAATAAACGCTTTTAATCTGCTTTTAGCTTAACAGGGCAGTATGTAGTCAATTAAAGAGATTCTTAAATATTGTTATATTAAATATAAAATAAAATTAAAATGTAAATATTTTTGTTCCGTTACTGTCTCGATCCTATTCCGTTCCTGTCACATTCCTGAACTTAATACCAAATTTTATCAAAATCCGTTCAGGCGTTAAATACTAAAAATGGCGAATGCGCTGGGATTAATCAAGGAGTAACTTTTCAAATATGTAAATCGCAATTTTCCATTTTTACATTAGTCTATGAAAAAAAATTATATTCACTAACAAATGAATATAAAGCTATACCCAATAAACATTTAAAAGATATCTTGAGTCAAAATTTAAAAAGTTTTGAAATAAAAGAAATTCTTTTAAAGAATAGTTGGGATTTTAAATTGACTAGAACATATTTTTGTTGGAAATTAACTCATCTACACAAAAGGTTTTTTAGTTTTTTGATAAATGTACATTACGTAAGCGTTTTTAATATAATCGCAAAGTTCACTTTAACCTTTTTTTAATGACTACCATAAAAAATATTAATTTCACTTTCGATTTTGTAAAATATCTTTATAAATTTGTGTTATTTTAATTAAAAAAGGCTTTTAACTATTTTACTTTTTTTTGAATTTTTATTTCAAAATATTAATTTTTTCCTAGCCTCTTGTATGAGAGACATTTATAGAATATTATGTATCAAGTTTAATAAACGCCATTTTAGTCACGAATTTTAATTGCTTGCGAGCGAGTGTTTAATTAAATAAGTGTCTAGAAAAGTTTATAAACAACATACCATACTTTTTCTACGACAAATACTTATTATTATTATCTGAAAATGATTTAAATTAAGTATTTGTATAGAGCGACATCTATAAAACAATAGAGTAACCATTCTAGCTTCAAGTTAGTAACTTGGTCATAAATAAAATACTAAAATAACTTCAATATATGATTATTTTAAGAAAAAATTTATCCTGATTTTTTTATTAATATAATTGCAAAATTATCACAAAATATTAAATATTCTTACACTGAAAAATTGACAGTTGTTTTTATTGGAATTCGCGTTAAAATTTCTAACTTGGGAATCTAACGGCGTTATAATGTCAATTTTTTCTGTGTAAATAAAAATTTATCCCTTGAAAATAGACTAACAACCGATAAACAAAAATATGCACTACTATAGAGTATACTCATTTTAAAATCCTACTTACTATTCTAAAATTTAGAAAAAAATATTTTTTTAAAACTCTACAAATTTTGACCTAAGATATCTTTTGAATATATAGGTTTATCAAAAAAACAATAAGAGAATATTGTGAAAATGGAAAATTTCAATAAGGAGGCTCATAGGCTCAAACTTAACCAAAATTGTCATAACCTCGAAGCGACAAGTTTGTTTTGTTTTTTTTTGTTAAAATACAATAGTGGTTTTGCATTGGGTTGTAGTTCAGTTTTTAACTTTTCAACGTTCTGATTACGCGGACTTACAATTATGTATTTTCCATATTCCATGGCCACGATTGTTTACAAGAAATATATATTTAAGGGATTTATGGTTGTTCACCAACTTAAGACTTATTTCCTTAAATAATAGACTCCATGTATCATTTTTTTTAGTTAAAAGTAAGTGGGACCAACTACCATTATTCATGATAGAGGTATTACGCTAAAACATGCAAAATTAAATAATAATTACCAAAACCTTTAAAAATGACTTACATTATCTTCAAACCTTAGATACCCACAATCTCCAGTTGGGTATTTATTTATTGTTAAGTCAATAGTGTTTCTCCCACAATATCTTATACCAGATTTTGTTCCCCCCCAACCGTTTATTATAAACCATATACATTCAGAATTTTCGATATGCATACCATCACAAATAAAAATATGGGATTCCATAGATCGAACAGAAAGAGGAAGAACAAAATCTTCCGAAGGAATACTTAAATTTAGATTTATAGGAAGAAGCCTTTTCTTATTTCCAACCAAATGACCATCTTCTACCAGGATTGTTGGGAAATCTAAGAAATTATAGTAAATTATATGGTAGAAATATAGAATATAGTAGATACACACCTTCCCATCTTTTATCTTTAATTAATTCTGTAAAATTAGGAAACTTTTCTAAACTATCAACAACTTGCCAATTTTCATCGGGAAAGCAATATTTTCCACATAAAGTTATATTATTTTTTAAGTAAATGCTGTTGTAATCTAAAATTTAGTAAAATTTTATTTTTAGTATATAAATAATTATTAAAACAACAATTCTCCTAAAAAGCTATTAAATTATATTAAACGTTTTATTTGGAGATGCTCTAGAGTCGAGAGAAAGTAAAAAAAATTGATTGTAGATATTGTCCTAAAGTTTATATAAAGAAAAATGTAGTTGCCACTGGAAAAAATGTCTATTATTTTCAGCGGCGTAACTAGAAAAAGTGCCGCCCGGGGCAGCAGTGGCTGTCGCCCTCATGTTTTTTTTTTTTGGGGGGGGGAAGAGAGGTTAGGTTAGGAGTCAGTTTTGAGGACCGTACGCAAAATTATTGGTAACTTATGTCGGCGGTAGACTGATTACTCATCAAAGGTACAATACCGGTCTTGTTTCTATTTTTTGCTAGCTTTATTTGATTTGGAATATTTTGGGAGTAATTGTATAAATCTCAAATGTATTGGAATTTGAATTATATTATTTCGAAAGAGAATACTTAATAATCAAATATTTTTTTTATTTTTATATTCTGTCTTCCAGTTTTTTTCGCATTCTCTCTCACGATTTTTGCCGCCCCAAGAAGTGCCGCCCGGGGCGGACCGACCCCCCCGCCCCCCCCTAGTTACGCTACTGATTATTTTACCTTTACCTTTACCTTTTATTTTAAAGACATTTTATTTTAAAGAAACATAATAGTTATTTATGTCATTAGGAAGTAAGGCTTTTTGTGCTAAGCTCAAGGTACAATTGAACGAAGCAGAAAAAGGCACTTCTTGGCCGAATGGCATACAACATTTTATCTTCAAAGCACTTTATATAGGTCAATTTAATTCAACATCAAAGCGGCCTAACCTCACTTTTTTAGAATCTCATTTATTTATTAGCTAAAGATTACATTAAATGTACAAAAATTATTATTGCTTTTAGAAGCAGTAATAGTTTGACAATACCTAGCTATAATACCTAGCTAGCAGAAATGGATTTTTGCTATTACATTGAATTCAATCAATTGTTTTTATAAATAGGTAGGTATCTAATTTCAATTTGTTTGGATTTTTATTTAAAAAATAGGTAGTTTGGAATGTTTAAGCTGTGTTTAACATTTAATTTCACTGAAAACTTAAAGCAAATTAAAACTTAAAGATAATTTAAATCGTAGAAAAAGAATCGTGCGTTTTCTTGGTTGCCTAACCTCACTTTTTGTTTTATTATTTATATTTAATTTTACAATAATTTAATGAAAAATATTAAACATTAAAAGTGAAACAAACAAATTAGTGCTTATTATAAATAAATTAAACCAGTTTAGTACGTTAATTTGTCAAAACAATACCCCTAGCGAGAAAAAATCGAACTAATTACTTGCCTCATAAAAATTTTTATCGGCCTAGGCCATAACAAGGTATTTCTTTATCGAATGTTGACAACAATAAAGTTTAAATTATAGACCGCGTGGAGATAAAAATATTTAGAAGTACCTAAATATAATTGGATGTGCAAAAAATAGAAAATTAAAAAAAATATGAATGTGGATCGACATTTTGTTTTAATCCTTTATTTTTGCCCAAGGATTTGTTTGATTAGTAATAAATTGCAATCGCTGGTGGTTTTCACCATTAATTTTTATAAAAATTATTTCTGATAAGCAGATACATGATTAATCTGTACTTAAATAAAGTTAAATTATATTATAATTTCACTATATAGTCGCTATTTATGGTTTATTGGTTTATAAGAAAACAATTAAAAAATACAAAAAAAATGATTAAAAATTAGATTTTGATATCTTAAATACTACCTGTTAAAAAAGGGTTAACACTACTATAGTATATATACAGGGTGGGTCATTTAACTTGAAACTGCATTTTACGAAACAATGTTTAAAATAAAAATTAAATGATTCGAGGGGGGAAATCAATCAGTATTAAAATTGGTCCTCACACTCTCCTCCTTAATAATTATAGGGGGTAACTTTAAAATATCCAATAGAATACCCTATTTTTTATTGCAGATTCGGATCATTCGACTAAAAATAGGTAGATTTTGTCTAAAACATTTTTTCATATTTGTAATAGATGGCGCTGTAATGAGAAAAATCAATTTTGTTCGATTTTTCTTCTGTATACGATTCTGCAATAATTTTTCTACAAAAATATCACTTTTTTTGGTAATAATTATCTTATTAAATTAAATCTGATTTTTTAAGTACCCACGATTTTTTAACTAATATTTAAGTTTCCTTTGGATTAAGTTTTATACATTATTTCATTCGGTAATAATTATCAATTGCGCATCATGGTCACTTTTTACAGCATTAAATCCTTTAATTTAAAGGATTATTGTACTATTTTTAATAAAAATAACAGTTAAGGTAAAAAAACATAATTTTGTCAATTAATTAATTTAATCCTAATTGACGTATAAAAAAATGGTATTTAGTTATAAATTATAATTATTATTGAGGTATAAAGAAACTATTTATAGTTTAGCATTATTTAATCAATTTAGTTCGAAGATTAATTTGTAAACAAAAAGACCTCCTTTCGTTAAGCAGTTATTCATAATAAATTTTTTAAAGTGAAAGAAAAAAATAGAAATGATTTTGATTTATGGAGAAGCAGGCAGGATAAAATTCGATCACTTACTTCATTTCACCATACAGTCAAGCAGTTTACTACAAACGGGAGTGTTCAACCGAAAAAAAGAGTTCGTCGAGCAACTGTCACAGGTGGAAATAATGAAATTAATGTATAAGCAGCAACGGCCGCTAATCCTTATGCAAGCACACGATAATTAAAAACCTGCACATTTTTAATATCAAAATATTTACAAAATAAAATTATGTTCGTCAGATATTTGGTACATTGTTACGTTTATAAAAAGGTACTTAACATAGTAAATAAACAAACCTTGCTTGGAATCAATTGGAAAAATATTAACCATTGCGAATTTACTGTTTGTTAAACACATTTCATCGGTGGATATAAAAGTGGCATTCAATTTTTCGGCACTGACCATATTCCCATATAATAATAAAAACCTACATTTAAAGTTTGTAAAAGTAATTAGAAAATATAGTTTTATATTTATTACTCACCACAGTATTTTTTTTATATTCATATTGCTCATAGCAAATATCACAGCGCATTAAACATTTGAGATTTAACATTACTAATTAGATTGCATCGATTTGCCAATATCTTTTTGCCACATCCTGTGATAAAATCACAAAGAAAAATTAATAAAATTTTATTTATTTTTATTATAAAATATTCTAACAATAATACAAATTTTCAATAACGACACTTGTAGTAGTATATAAATAAATTTAAAATAACGACAGAATATTGAATAATGGATACTTTATCGTAAATCGTATAAAACATAAACGTCTATTATCTACATTTTATTATTAAAAATATCCCTGATAGCACAGTTTATTCTAAGAATGTTTTTTAAACCTTCCAGTGGGAATATTCTTAGGATCATGCTATATTTCTTCTAGTCATGTTCTTAGAATGTTTTTTAAACCTTCCAGTGAGAATATTCTTAGGATCATGCTATATTTCTTCTAAGAACATGCTTAAAAGAAATATAGCATAATCCTAAGAATATTCTCACTGGCCTATAGGCAGGTTCTTAGAAGGTGCAAAGTTTAGTGGTAAAAATTAATCCACTCTAAACATATGCTTAGAATGTTGAGAAAGTAATTGCTATAGAAAGTTCATTTAGGAATATTCCTGGAACATTATGTTAAGCATATTCAGTTCAGTTAGGTACCTATATAATAGTAAAATATATCATAATCTACGTATAAAGGTACCTATACTCAGTATTAAATACTAAGTAAAAAACACAACCCAAAATATGTTTTTATAGTTATTTGTCAAATTAAAACAAATTCGATAACAAAAATACTTTTACTATAGGTATCTAAATTATCCGGCTTTTACATAAAATCTTCTATCCGACTTAAATACAATGAAAAATGTTTTTTTTATGAAGAACTATTTGGTTTTTTCTTTTATGAAGAATTATTTTATAAGGAAATATTTTGTTTTTTTATATTTTATTTTATGTTAAAAATAAATATTTATTAATTTGTATACCGATTTTTTATATCTGAATTAACATTTTTATGTTTAATAATCCTAACTATCTTCAACTTCAATCTAATCTGACTTATCCCACAAAATTTTCCAATTTTACTTTTTATGAAATAATGTCATACAAATTATGGTTTAGAGGTCAAATTGTTTATTTAATATTTTTAAATAAATATTTAATATGTCGCAAAATTTTTTAAGGGGACGACAGTGAAATATATTTAATATATTTCACTGTCATATTATGACAGTGAGGCGTATTTGTCGCCTCCTGAAGAATTTTACGAACGTAGAATCCAACATATTAGAACGTGGGTATCTGACATATTTGGAAATATTCTCAAAAGCTTCCTAGAAGCTCCATAAGAAACCTTCTAAGAACATTTCAAAAACGTATTCTTAAAATGTTCTTAGAATGCTTTTTAGGAAGGTTTTAAGAAGCTTTCAAGAATCTTATTGCATCATTAAAAGGGTATCTATTGAATGTTTTAAAAGTCCTTAAGAACATTCTTAGCAATAAGGGAAGGTTCTAAGAATATTCCATTATTACGGGTTATCTTCTTAGAAGATTCTTAGAATTAAATTTTGCTATCAGGGATCAATCTACACATTCACTGATTTGTGGGACACGCCTTCAATGTCTTGAGTCCGGTTTTCCAGCTTTTCCGAGCCACTTTGCCAGCCCGAGTCAATGGTGGCGTCACTATGACAACCCTGAACTTTGGAGTCCTCCTCGGCATTATGCTCTCCATACAGCAGACCGGCTGAATTCCCGCCCAGGTTTTGAATCAGCGCCGAAATATTCGACCCAATGTTCCTTCTGGATGACGCTTGGTTAAGGTTTAGAGTTTTCGGAGGGACCGCTTTGTTCGGGTTGTAGTTAAAGTTTTTCGTTTGGTTGTAGAAGTTCTGCTCGAAGTTGTTCAAGCCGGAGATGGTGTTTGTGAGGTTGCTCGACGTTTGGCCTGGAATAACTTCGTATTGCGCGTCTGGGGCGAGAAAATGGCACACCATTCTGTGTTTGGGGGTGGATTCATCGGGAAGATAACAGTCATCAGGAGTCATCGCGTCATCAGTGGTCTCGGTCATCGGGGTCTGAACGCTGCTGCACAGGCTGTTTTGGGAGATGTCTTTCGGTATGAGTTGTATACACGAGTCGGTCGAAAACTCCTGAATATCGTCCGAGCTCGGCAAAGGGAATGGCATTCTGCTTCTGGTGGACATTTGCCGGTTTCCCATACGATGTGCCAAGTAATCCTCGTCTTCGGTAACGGTCACCGAAGAGATGTTGTCTTGGAAGTTTTGAAGCACTTGATTGGTGTTTACATCTTTGTTGTCGCTGTTGTGTAACGATATCAACCTGGGTTTTTGCGTTTCCAACGCTTCGTCGTACAACGACGAATCCTGCCCGTCATTTCTCACCGAGATATTGCAGCAACTACTGACATCGGCGAAATAAACCTCCGATTCGGTGGTTTCAGGTTTTTGCGGGGAGTTTTCTTGCTTCTGGAAAGCTGCGTTTTCCACGCCTTGCAACCTGGGCAAGAATCTGCAAGAAGCATCCATGCTGGGTGGCTTATTTTCCGGTACGTTCGGCTCGTGATAATCGTTTTCCTGTTCGGGCTTCCCTTCCTCCTGGTTGTTCTGATTGAAAACAGTCTGTACATTCGTTCTATTGCTTGATTGGTTTGTGGCCTTCAAGGAAGCCATATCAGTTCTTTTTTTAATTTTTCTAGCGGGTAGCGTATGCGACACCCTGTCAGCACAGCTAGACGTGTCGGTGCTCTCGCTATTCTCATTCGTTTGATGGACCTCTGTTTCCGTAGTATTCTCGTAATTATCTTTATTGCTAACATGCGCTCGCGCTCTTCTGGATCCCCTGAATTGGTTACTTTCACTGTTTAGTTGGCAATGGGACTCGTGATTGTGCATGTGATGGTGAATATGGTGGTATCTGTTAGGCGAGTGTAGAGGTCTTCTAGCGGGCGAGTTTGGGTTCGAGTATGGCGGAGGGGGCCCCCAAACATATACCCCACCTACTGGCGCCCTAGTGTCCAGAATGCTGTAGGAACCAGTGGAACCTGATATGGGATCCTGAAGGTTGTTCTCTGGCCCAGATCTGTTGCTAAACCCATATTGACTGTCCGCACTGCTTATTCCTCCTTGGTACGTTAAAGAGTTGTCCCTGAAATTAATATAATTCATATAAAAGAAGTTTATTATTAAATTATAGGTTAAAAATAATAATTTACTCCTGCTTTGAAGCGCAGGTTACATGTTTCTGGACCAATTGTGCCTAGACTCTATTGTTCACCCAAGATTCATAAGCCTGGCTAGTCTATAGGCCAATAGTTTTGGCCATTGGTTTACCGACTTATAAATTAGCTAAATGGTTAAGAAATGAATGAACCTCGCTGTTAAGCCACGTAGTTTTTCACCTAAAAACTCAATTGAGTTTATCGAGAAAGTCAAAAGTGTTACACTGCAAGACAGTGAGCTATTAGTTTCATTTGTGTCCAAGTACCCCAGTACCACTTACATTGACTTATCTAGAGGATGTACTCGAAGAAAATAGTTTTTCCAATGAAACTGTTGCTGAATACTTGAAGTTAGGCAAAACTGTTTCCAAGTCAACGGTTGCTTCTATAAACAGCATGAACCCTGATAGCACAGTTTATTCTAAGAATGTTTTTTAAACCTTCCAGTGAGAATATTCTTAGGATCATGCTATATTTCTTCTAAAGAACATGCTTAAAAGACATATAGCATGATCCTAAGAATATTCTTACTGGCCTATAGGCAGGTTCTTATAAGGTGCAAAGTGTTAGTGGTAAAAATTAGTCTACTATAAACATATGCTTAGAATGTTAAGAAAGTAATTGCTATAGAAAGTTCATTTAGGAATATTTTTGTTAATTATATTTAGTTCAGTTATCTATATAATAGTAAAATATACCATAAACTACGTATAAAGGTATATACCTAAACTTAAGTACCTAATTAGTAATTAGTATTAAATACTAAGTAAAAACACAATCCAAAATATTTTGTATAGTTATTTGTCAAATTAAAATAATATTTGATAACAAAAATACTTTTACTATAGGTATTTTATTTTATGTTAAAAATAATTATTTATTTATTTGTATACCGATTTTTTATTTCTGAATTAACATTTTTATGTATAATAATCCTAACTATTTTCAACTTCAATCTAATCTGACTTATCCCACAAAATTTTCCAATTTTACTTTTTATGAAATAATTTCATACAACTTATGGGTTAGAGGTCAAATTGTTTATTTAATATTTTTAAATAAATATACATTAATATGTCGCAATTTTTTTCAAGGGGACGACAAATACATTTCACTGTCATATTATGACAGTGAGGCGTATTTGTCGTCTCCTGAAGAATTTTACGAATTTTACGAACATATTAGAACGATCTGACATATTTGGAAATATTCTCAAAAGCTTCCTAGAAGCTCCATAAGAAACCTTCTAAGAACATTCCAAAAACGTATTCTTAAAATGTTCTTAGGATGCTTTCTAGGAAGGTTTTAAGAAACTTTTAAGAATCTAATTGCATCATTAAAAGGGTATCTATTGAATGATTTAAAAGTCCCTAAGAAAATTCTTAACAATAAGGGAAGGTTCTAAGAATATTCCATTATTCCGGGTCATATCTTCTTAGAAGATTCTTAAAATCAAATTTTGCTATCAGGGACTGCTATGGAAAACTCCTTATCCCCATTTTTAGCTATTCTTTTCATGATCCGCTATGAGAGAATTTGATCTTTTTGCTATTTTTGATCAAAACGCTTGCAGCTTAGATGATTTTGTTTCCAAATTGATTAATTGTATTCCCTCTATTAAAGTCACCTTTGAATTGGAAAAAGATGGCAAACTACCATTTTTAGATACCCTAGTGATTAGATCTAAGAATACTCTAGAGTTCGATATCTACCCTTCAGACTCGAACCACTGCATACAACATAAGTAGGCTAGTTTTAACTTTCTTGTTCGAAGGTTGGTAAA